TAACCCTAATCTAGGCCGGATGATTGTCATGTGATATTGTGATGATCACTGAGTTAACTCTTCTTCAATCTACCCAATTTGTTGTTGAATTTTTATAATATTATTATGATAAGTTTCATCTATTTTATCTTTTAAAACTTGTCTACAAGGAAGCCTATATTTAAGATCTAAATCATAAGAATATCTAATAAAATCTTTGTCTTCAACGATAGCAAGTGGTTGAACATTATTAATTATAAATCTAAGAAGGCTATTATTTAATTTTTGTGTTTGCGCTTTAGTATGTGGTTTAGTAGTTTCTAAAATTTGAGTTAATGTTAATTGATTTTGTGATGTTGGAGTCTTTTTTAATTCGTCTATTGATTTTTTATTTAATGAAGCTAGTTATTTGATGCTTATTATGAAGATGAGCTTTCATTGTTGATGGTGTATTACAATAACCAAGAACTGCTTTACAATTAGCTATTTGACAATAGACTTTTCCATCACGAGGTTGAGAAAAAAAATTCCAAACAAATGATGATTTTGGTTTAGTTGAAATTCTAATTGGTTTTTTTCTTTTTGCTGGTATTAAAAGCTTAGGAGATACATTTCGATTAAATTCTTGATTATTCCCATGATCACTAATTTGACTAATTTCTTGTAAATTATCTTCTTCATTATCACTACTACTTTCTTTATTATAGACATCAGTAAAAATATCATTATCAGAAACATAATCTAAAGATTGATCTTCGCTATATTTCTCATCATCAGTTGATAAATTACTTTGTTGTTCTTCAAGTTGACGGTGTTTTGCTCTAGTTGTAGTAGCCATAATGATGTATTAATTACAATCATCTAATTGTTATCCAATTGTACAATTATGAAGTTATATTTATAAGTTTATTAAAATTATTATTTGTAATTGCACAATTGGATAACAATTAGACGATAAAACCTGGGCTGTAATTTGCAAAATTTTATTTTTTGTAAGCCACAATAAATATTAGACTAAGCACAAACAATAGGCTTAATGTTTTGATAAAAGAATGCGCCCTAAATTTTTATAAAAGCATAGTGCTCTTAAAAATTATAGCACCTAAAGCAAAAGCAACAATTATAAAATATTTCAAGCTCAGCCGAAATAGTTTCAGCTGATATTAGTGTTTCTGTACATGAACATCCAGATAGTGTAATTTGAACAGAATTAGTTTTAGTTTCAAATTGAGTTAAAATGGTTCTAGTTGAAGATGGTATAAATTGAGACAAATCAAATTTAATTGAAGATTGAAACAAAATAATCTATGTTGAAGACGGTGTAATTTTAATAGCATCAATTGGAATTCCAGACTGAGATAAAATAGTTCTTGACTGTTTAGATTTTTTTCTCCAACGTCCTGGTATCATTTAGTTTTCAGAACCTTCATATATTATATACAGTTTTAAAGCCGCCAATGCCGATTTAAACTATTGCAGAAATATGTTTGATTAAATAGCATAATTTGATATAAAATGTCAATAAAATTAAAAATTGGACTTACCGTTGATGGTTTAACATCATCCGTAATATCCATATCAAGTATATCATGTGCCGTCTGTTTTAAACTGGGGGTCGATTTACCTTGGTAAGGCGTAATGTCTCATTGATTTATATTCGGAAAATCTATATCAAATAACTTTATAAAGTAATAGTAATCAAGGCATTAATTTAAACCTATGTAAACATCAGGCTGGAAGAAAACCAAGAAATATCTACCTTGATAATATTATAAAGACTATGACCTTCTCTATTTCGATCTTCACTAATGCTTGTGAATCGGTAAAATAAAGTGCTGAATATTAAATAAATAGATATTTACCGATAGATAAATAAATAAATATAAATAAATAAGTATAAATAAATGTGGTGGCTGAAGCTGAAGCTGAAAATTTGACCTATTTTATTATAAAAATTTCAAAATTTTTGGGGTACATTTTTTTGACTTTTTTTAGGGTTAGGGGTCAGCTTTATGGGTAGAATTTATAATAAACATGTATAAGTGGGTTTTAGTAGGTTTTATGGATCTAAATTGAGACCCCAAATTTTCAGCTTCAGCCAATTTCACGATAATCCCCCACAATAAATAAGTATATATATATATAATTACTATATTTATAATTGCAATTTTTTAGCAGAAAAAATTTGAGACTTACCGTAGGCGTGAAATTTTTTTGGATTAATTCCCACATGATTCAATTTGAGATCGAGATCTTGACCTCCGTAATTGGACGTATAGATTTATCTAGTATAATGTTACCCTCATCATTTATTAATGTTACATAAACAGGAGCCTGGTCCCTAATTCGATCGGGACCAATATAAACCGTTAGAATACCTATTGCCACATAATTCCTAATGAAATTATATAAATTAAACTCTTAATATAAAACATGTAAAACTAAACCATAAAAATAAACATAATTTACTGCTTGCAAGGTACTATAGTATGACATGGCATAGGTGCTAAAGTTCGTGGAGATCGTGTTGAAGTAGTCGAAATAGTTGATAGCCATTTTTTAGACTAATCTTTTTGTGGTACCATTTCATCCCAAAGATATCGAAATTGCCGAAACAATTTCATAGTCGCGGTAGCATCTTCGACCTAGTGTTGGCAGGCGAAACTTAGAGGTTTCGACACAGACGAAAGGCGAAACCTAGTTTCGACTTTTGCCAAAAAAAAAAATCAAAATGGCGAAATGGTGAAAGGTGGCGAAACTGGCGAAACTCGCGAACTGTGGCTGAAACTAAAAAAAGGTAAAATTAATAAACAAAGTAAGAATAAAAAGATAAATAAAGATTATTAAGTAGATACACTAATATTTTCTTCACTAGAACTCATTTTAAAAAATAATATTGAATTTCTAAAATATATAAAAAAAAAAATTAATTATTTATGCTGAATAAATTATTTAAATCAAATATAGTAATTATAAATTATAGAGCCTAAAAAATTATATTTTTAAAAAGATAAATTTTAGAAAAATAAATAACAATAGTAAAAACTATATTCATAAATATTA